TAGTTAGGTGCGCGCGAAATTCAATTCTAGTTTTAGTAAAAGGATGACAAAAAAAAAATTTACTAATTATTAAGGATCAAAGTACTAGGAAACATGTCGTAAATTTAAATTAAGTAATGTACTTAGTTTTGAATGAGATTTTGTAGAGGAACAGTAACTATTGTTAGTGAGAGACCAGAGCGAAATGGGCATCTAGATCCTAGTCAGGCTGAATAGCAGAGACTACCTGTCTACTTAATAAACCCTGGACGCTCGTCTGGTTCTAGAATATCATTAACAACGGTTGATGTTTTCTTGAGACTATTTTTGATGAAAACAATAAGTTATAAAAGTTGAAAAATGACTCATTTGCGATGATTAGCTTTTAACATTTGTTTTAAAAATTTTATGGTGAGCTCAAAAAAAGTTCTAATGACTTTTTTGAAATAAATCTAAAGAAGGTTTTTTTATAGGAGAAGGTCAAGGTTTTTAAATATGACTGTGTAAGATATTATTATTGAAATAAAAGTATTCAGATTTAAGAAAATAAAAAATTTTTATTGTATTTTACACAAGAGTTAAAATTAAAATTTAACAAATAGCAAATAAAAGACAGTAAAATATTCTGGATTACACATAATAATTATTTTATTAACAACTTAAGGTCGTCATTACTTAAAAAATGTAAAATTTCTCTGATAATGAGACACGGGAAATGATTATCAAAAATTACATATAATTCTTCCTGTGAATCACTTAACAAAGTTCGACGTTTCATTCCTTTCATTAAACGTTCGAAAATCATTTCGCCATAAATAGGAAATTTTAGTAATAACTCTTCTTTGTTGAAAGAATTCTTAAAATATTTTAAACCTAAAGCTAACTTATGAATACTTTTATTTAAAATATTGAAATAACTTAAATTAGTGTCAACAATTTTAGTCTCTTTCAATGAATGAACTTCCTTAATAGACTCTTCATGGAGTACAACTAAATCCTTAACACTAATTAACTTTAAGTTGACTTTACTCACATAAAAATTTGCAGCACACATCTTAATTATATGTTTTTCAATTATATTAACTATTTTTGTATAATTACTACTTAAATATGGATTATCTTTGATTAAGTTTACAGCTAAATTTAATGGAGTAACATTTTCTTTATCGACTAAATTAAAGTCCATGCCACAATTTAATAGATATTGTAAAACCTTTTACATCACTATACTTTTTTAAAAAGAACTTAACAACTTCCAGATTGTCTTCTTCTATTGCCAGATTGAATTCTGTCGTATATTTTCCATCCTTAATCACACTTACCTCCACTCCGAAGGTTTCTAGGAGCTGGAGGATTTTAATGTTGTTGGCCCTTATGGCCAATCGCAATGAAGAATAAACTCCTTCACTTCCTTGTTCGCTGGTGGCATTATTTTTTAATAAAAATTCCACAATCCGAGCGTTTCCCGAATAAATTGCTAAATGCAAAGTTGACCACTTATAGCAACTATCTATGATGTCTTTTTTCACTGCATTGACATCAGCTCCGGAATTAATCAACTTCTTCACCAGGTCAAAGTTTTGTTTGCCGACGGCTAAATGAAGCGCTGTTCCCCGAGATGGTATATTGAGATCCAGATCCACTTTATTTGCCAGCAGGAAGTCGATAAATTCTTCATCTGAAGCTTCAATGGCAAGGTGAAGAATAGATAATTTTCCGGACTTTATTAAACCGGAGAGATCTTCTGATTTGTAATTATTACAGGCAGCCATTATTGCGTGAATAATATAATAATTCAATAAAAATCAACAGCCACAAAAACTTCGATGCACACTTTTCAAGTATCGTCAGACAAGTGACTACACAAATGAATAGGGCCTGACAAGATCCCTTGTCTCCCCACTCTACGATGAGAAATCAAAATGGCGATTATCCCTACTCTTTCAAGTATTGAGGGTAGAAGTAAGGAGGACCATCTCAGTGTATTAAAAAGTGTCCGTTGAAAGTCAGCATATTAAGGTAGCGCTATAGTAGCAAGTGGAATAATTTTAAAAGGAGCGCCACAAATTATTAGAGTAGGATACTAAATTAATAAAGGAGAGACAAATTTCCGCTTTGTTACAGCGCATTTTTTTAAATTATAACTTGGATTTGACGTTGAAAATAGGGCTCCGCGTGGCTGTTACAGCATGCGCGCGCCGCCGCTATAAAGAGTTCAGCAAGAAAAATAATTTTTTTATAACATAAAATGTGATTTTAAAAATTTGAAAAAATTCTATTATCTTCATAACACTTGAAAAAGTCGAGCCATAAAAAAAAAAAAGTTTAATCACTATTTTTCAAAAAGTTATTCAATTGTTAACAATAAATTTTTTCCCAATCTCTGTTGGCATAAACAATGGGATGAAAGATACATATAATTGGTCTATAAATTTTATACTTTGTGGAGCCCCTTTTATTTTTATTTTTTTTATTTTTATTTCTATTTTTATTCTTTCAATAGTTATAAAAAATCATAAATCATAAATTAATAAACTTTTATGAAAATTGTTCGCAGGATCTTATGAATTATATATATCAAAAGTGCTTTTGTTATATATTACTCCGATTCAAATACTCCGAATATAAAAAAACGGATTTTACGAAATTCCACCCCCAAGAGGGGTTGCGGGGGTGTTAATTAAAAAAAATTCACATTTTAAAACTACAGCTCTTATAGGTATTAAACTTAGTCAGGATATTCTTTTTGGCATGTTTGAATTTACTAAGAACTAATTTTATGATATTCCACCCCCAGAAGGGAGTGCGGGGGCGTTGAAAATTAAAAAAAATTCTTTATTCAAATCTATAGCTTTTGGAACTCTAAAACTTGGCCAGAATATTTCTTTTGGCATGTTTGAATTTATTAAGAACTAATTTTATGATATTCAACCCTAAGGGTTGTGCGGGGGCGCTAAAAATATAAAAAATTTGTATCTTCCAATCTATAGCTTTTAGAATTTCGAAACTTGACCAAAACATTTTTTTTGGCATGTTTGAGTTCACTAAGAACTAATTTTATGTTTATATTAGTCACTCATCACGATATCTCTAGAGCCATAAGACCTAGAGACTTGAAATTTGGTAGGAATATTCTTTTTACCGAGTTGAGGTCAGCTAAGAACGGATTTAACGAAATTCCACCCACAAGGGGGGTTGCGGGGGCGTTAACAATAAAAAATTCCCATTTTTAAACTATAGCTCCTATCGACTCCAAATTTGATAGGAATCTTCTGTAAGAGATGTAGAAATAATCTATGAACGAACTTTACGATATTACACCCCACAGAGGGTTGCGGGGGTGGGTATTAACAATGAAAATTCTGAATTTTCAAGCTATAGCTCCTGTAGACTTCAAATTTAGTAGCTATTAGATGCATTTGTTTATAAAAATTCTGTATTGTTTTTACTTTTTCGTATCTTTTGTCGTATTCATTGCCTGAAAATGGTTCAGTTGCACTCTTAACTTTGATAAAGTAACTAAAAATGGTCAAAATGTTTATGTTATATACGTCAAATTAAAGGTAATTCCATAAGCTATTACATAAATTTTTGAAATATTAGTTATCTCTGTTCAATCAAAAGTTATACATCAATGAAGTGGCCAAAAACGTGATTTTCACTATTTTGAAAATTTTAAATGGCCGCCATTTCTAAACTAATTGTCAAATTTCGCTCATTTTAGGGCTCATGCAAGCTAATTGTCCAAAGAATCTAAATATACTAAATTTCATTAGGATCTGTTAAGAATTCTCGATAAATTAACATTCATAACGAGGGTACTCTGACGTAACCTCGTATCTCAAAAAACACTACTTTACGGAGAAATAATAAACTTTTTTCAAGAAAATCAAATTATAAAATCGCAAACGTCTATCGCTAATTTCAAAGTTTTAATACTTTCTCATCGATATATACGCCAATCATGTTCCAGAAAAAAAAATTAAATATAAATAAATCGTAACCCCCAAAAATTGAGTTACGAGGTTATGTCAGAGTACCCTCGATAAGTCGGTTGTACTACACATTGCCTGAAAATGGTTCAGTTGCACTCTTAACTTTGATAAAATAACTAAAAATGGTCAAAATGTCAATGTTATATGCGTCAAATTAAAGTTTATTTTATGAGCTATCACATGAATTTTTCAAAAATTAGCTATATAGTTTTTTCATCTTTTTTGTATTAATATATTTTACCTACAAGATAAACAAAAAATGAAAAAGAATAAATGAATAAACAGCCAGAATTTATGATTAAATTTTTATTTAAATGTTAGACGAATCCTTAAAATATTTACAAATTTCTTAAGTACTAAGTCATCGTTATCGTAAAATAGAAAAAAAAATAAATGTTTCCATTATTTTTTATTTGTAAATAATTATAACGCTTATTTGTAAGTATATTACAAAAACAGATACATATTTATAACAATGTCTTTATATATAATTTTTTTTCAAATATCTATAGTAATAATTAATATAAAAAATAATATTAATAATTAATATTATAGTCCAAGCATACAAATCGCTTTCGCACCAGTTAATTTCTATTTTATTTTAATAATTGTGTAATTATCGAAAACTTTAAGCTTTATTCTGCTAAAGTTTCGTAATTCGTAATAAAGATCAATGAGTATTAATTAAAAAATAAAAAGTACCAAGCACACATAAAAATATCCTCACGTTGTTCATACATTCGTTGACTCAGTCCAGAGTTTAGGAGAGACTCAGTAAAAGAAAAAAAAAAACAAATTGACGGATTTGTGCCGAAGTAATGATTAATCTAAAGATCTAAATCATCACTTCAGGACTGTGTAAAGTCGTACTATTTTTAATTTAATAAATATTACGTACGACCCCCGCCGTTGTTGAATAAAAAACAAATAATATTATTTATCAATTTATATAAAAACCATTCCATGACATTGAACGACTTAACATGAGCTGTTGAAATGGTCGAAGGTGGTAGTTTGTTGTTTTGGTCACTGACCCTCGCTGTCACTGTCACTTTTGTCTAAAAACAAAATTATGAATCTTATGCGAAAATTCAGATAACTTCGAAAAAGCTATTTGAGGCTCACCTTTTTTTCCTGGATATGCATGACGTTTCAGTCTATCATAAAGGTCATCCTTGGTACCGTAAATGCTGGCGTTTGAACGCGCTAAACTGTTCATTTTGCCTCCGTTGTGCAGACTCTCTGTAACATTTATAAATGTTTTAAATGAGCAATAATTAATTTAACCATTCATAAGGTAAAAGCACCTTCCGTATAAAAAAAAATTCGTTTTAAAAGTGTCTTTTGCTTAAGATCTTACGGACTTTTTTTAAAACATTTTTAAAACAAACAAAAACTAAAATTTTGAAATGTTTTAGATAAAAAACTTGGAAATTTTTTGGGTTATTCTTTTATATTTTTAGTTTAAATTTTTTAATCAATATCCACTTCATCCTGACCAAAATTTTCTAAGCAAGGTCCAATTCAGAGATTTTAGAGATGATATTAAAACTTAGTTTGAAATATCTCAAACCTCGAGCGCTAAAATTTCACACAAAATTTTTTAAATGCACTGAGTTTAAGACTTTTTTAAAACGTCTTTAATACTTTTTGAAGAGTTCAAGTCTGGAATTTTTTTTTTTTTGTCGATGGTCACTTTATTCTGACCAAAATTTTTTTTTTAAGTTATTTAGACTTCTTGAAATTTCTAAATTTTAAGATTCTTCTAAGACGCTTTGAAAACTCATTTAAGACATTTTTTAAACTTTTTTTAAACTCTTTTAGGACACTTTAATGAAATTTTGAAGATATTTTAAGAGTCATAAAATGTCTTAAATGAGTCTTAAAAAACTTTTAAAAAGATTCCTTAAAAATTTCTTAAAAGCGTCATAAAAGAGTTGAAAAAATGTCTTCAAGACGTCTTAAAAGAGTAAAAAAATGCCTTAAAAAAGTCTTAAAAACTGTATTCAAACAGTTTGGAAAATGTCTTAAAAGTGTTTTAAAAGCGTCTTGAAAGACTCTTGAAATCGTCTTAAAATTTAGAAATTTCAAAAAAGTCTAAATAATTTAAAAAAAAAATTTTGGTCAGAATAAAGTGACCATGGATAAAAAAAATTCCAGACTTGGTCTCAAAAAAGTATTAAAAACGTTTTAAAAAAGTCTTAAACTCAGTGCATTTAAACAATTTTGTGAAATTTTAGCGCTCGAGATTCGAGATATTTCAAACTCTAAGTCTTAATATTATCTCTAAAATCTCTAGAGATTTCAAAAAACATTTCAAAAGGTGATATAAATTAATTTGCAATGATGCTGACTTAAGTAGCGCGTTTCAATTAAACGTAAAAATAACATCCTGAGTTTTGTAAATTTTTCAAACTTTTCTACAAATTTTACCGAGTATTTTTTTTCCGTGCGCCTTTTTAACACAGATCCTTCTAAGCCGTATCAATGCTTCCTTTAACTTTTTCCGACTCGAAGTAATAAATAAAAATTACCTTTCATATAAGTCTCATTGTAGAAATTCGGCATTTCCCATCCGTCTTCTTCGTCATCATAATAATGAGCATAAGTACTGTGATGAGAAGGTGCAATAGATTCAGCATAGGGTGTTGGCGCTCCATAGTAAAAGTTGACTTGTGATCCATTTTGATCCGTAGCGGGTGTAATCATTTTCTTAGGCTCACGTTTCCGACTTGCACGAGCACAAATCATCCATACGAGCAGAACAATAAAGATAATAAGAATAATTCCACCGGAAACCCCGCCAATTATGTAAAAGAACTCTGATTTTTCAGTGCAGTGTTTACCGGTGAAGCTACCACTGCATCTGCAAGACGGCTGACCACGGCTGTCTTTCATGCAAACTCCCTCATTGTCACAATAGCCTGTACAGACGTCGGAACAAACTGTACCCGTCCCATTGTAACCTGGTTTGCATTCACATTTGAATTCGCTGGTCTCTGGTATTAACAAACAATAAGCATTGGCGTCACAATGCATTTCTTCGCCGCTCATTTCACACGGGTTGGTACACTCAGCCTTGCTAGTACCACCAGGTCCTTTGGTGCTGGTATTCGGTGGACAGGGAATACAGAACGTTTGCTGAGGTTCCGATTGATAAGTACCCTTCTTACATTGGACACATTCATTCAAAGTGCCGTTAAGATGCGTTCCAGGCTCACAAACGGGCAGTGAGCACTCTTCAACAGCCGCGGATCCCATGTTGGGCGTAGTTCTACCCAATGGGCAAGCTTGACAAGCTGCTTGCACACCTTGGGTTCGGTAGGTGCCTCTAGGACAAGGTTCACACTTGCCTTCGACTGCCAATTGTTGACCCGATCCACATTCATCGCGACATTCTTCATGAGATACTGCTTCAGCGGTTCTTGTAGTTTTGCCCAGTCCGCAAAGCAAACACGAGAAACTGCCCTCGTTTGGTTGGTAAAATCCGTGACCACAGCTACGACATAGTCCGGCTGCGTCGTCGTAGTATTTACCGGCAGGACAACGCTCTTTGCAATCAGCTGCACTCCGTGCTCCTGGTCCTACTGTCACGCTGGATCTTCCTGCTATCACGGGACAACTGCTGCATTTAAGCTGGCCTGATTCACTTTGGTACGTTCCTACTGGACATGACACACACTTGTTTGTCGATTCTTCGTAGAAAGTTCCGACCGCACATGGTACTGTTGATGTTAATTCAATTTATTATTATTTACTCGTTACTAATTTTTAATTAGCATGATAATTAATACAGTGACAGAAAAATTGGAATTATGACAGGAATTTATTTGTTGGAAATTTTAAACAATTTTACTGTTGAAGAAATAAAAATTTTGCTCACAGTAATATTTTTGTTGAAAAAAAGCTTTATAGATTTGGGAAAAAACAATTTTAGATAAGCAACTTGCGAATTTTCATTCAAAATTTTTTCTTCCCAAATCTTGAAAAATTTTTTTCAACAAGAAAGTTACTGTGAAAAAAATGTTTATTTCTTCAGCTAAGAAATAAAATTTCTAAAATTTTCAACAAATTTATTTTTTATTAGGGTAAAGGAACCAAATATTGACCAGGCAGCATAACAATTTGATTGAAAAAAATCTAGTAATTTAATTGTATATTCAGTACTTATTTACAGATTTTTAATTATACTTAAAAAAAAAATTGCGCATATGAATATTTGCAGTTGTTAGAAAAAAGAAAAATTTTGTTTACAAATGTCAAAAAGTTGAAAAAATTAGTTATTAGAACTTCGCCGAGTTTGATAAACACATTTGTGATCAATTTATATGAAATTAAATGCTTCATAATCAATAAATAAATTATTTTCAAAACAATTATCGAAGATTAATTATCATAAATTATTTACTGGCACACAAAAAAAAAAAGTTTGTGCATTTGACCGGACCCACCTACGGACATGTATATCGACCCGCTGAATCTGAATTTGAAATCCGTTTGGCCTGGTCACCCGCCAGATTTGAATAAAATGCAAAAAACAGCGATGAAAAAATTTTTGTGGACCCGGATTAAGTATGATTTTCATGTACTTTAATTCACTGAATCTGAATCTGAACGTTAATTAGCCCGTTGAGCCGTCAAAATTTGAAAAAATTGGAAAAAACTAAAAAAAATTGCAATTAATCATGAAAAATTGAAATTATCGAGATGAAAACACTTTTTTGGATTCAGATTATGATTTTTAAGTATTTTGTTCCACGGAATTCGAATCTGAAGTTTTTTTTGTCTTATAAACGTTTCAAAATTTTAAAAAATCTCAAAAAACCAAAAAAATTCGGAAAATTGCAGTTATAAATAAGAAAAAAAAATCTATTAAACACGATTGTTAGTGACTTGGGTGTATTTTCATGGATAGAATATGATCTTAGAATTGAAAAATTGACAAAATTTTTAAATCTGTAAAAAATAACATGTAAGGAAAAGGTACGAAATGTTTTCCTTATTCTTCGTTCATTTCATTTCATTTCATTTGTTCATTTTATCTAAACTGGTCAATTTTTGGAGCCTTTACCTAAGACAACTTGTAAATTTTCAAATTTTCTTCCAAAAATATTTTTTCCGAAATCTACAAAACCTTTTTTTAACAAAAACTTTATTGTAAGAAGAATTTGTATTTCTTCAGCTAAAAAATAAAATTATACAAAATTTGCAACAAATTAATTTCTTACTAAAACATTGCTAATTTTTTTTTAAATAAATTTTTTCTCTCATTGTACAATCAAAAATGAAAAATAATTACCACAATCAGGTGCCATAACAACTTGACCAACTGGACAAGCATAGTCCGATTCAAGTATCAATGAAGCAGGATCTGGTACGGTGTTAGGTAAAATATCATTAACATCAAATTGATCTTCCTCAAGAATTAATTTCTCAAGTAGACTTTGTACCGTTGCACGATCATTTGAGTTTGTGTTCTGAATTGGATCACTGTGAAAATAATTATTAATTCATTATAACACATTATAAATATGTATATAAAAGCTTTTTTAACATAAAACATTATTAATTATTAATGCTATTGCTATGTATGCTATATACAGCCGTTATGCGTTGACGCCGTTAAACACAAGCCACCATATTATTATCTTCATCCTGTGTAATTAAACCTATTTAATAAGTAATGGATGTTATATGACATATATGTTAATTACAAAATAATATATTATATTATTAAATCATGTTTTGTTCCTGAATGTATACTTTTTTATATATAAAGTTAGTAAAACGTGCAAACGAACGTTTCTGTAATTTATGAGTTTGATTTCATTTAAATGAACATGTGTATTATGTAATCGTTTGTGAATTATTTTTTTTATTTTGCTAATCGCGCAGCAAAATATCTTACTTTATTGCAGGGAATGCAATCTCCACTTGATAGGTATCACTTCCTTGACGAGCGTGTCTCGTTCTGAGTAAAACAATTAATATTTATAATAATAAGAGCAATCTCAATTCATTTCAAATGATTCGGAAAAGAAAAAAAAAAACACGCTAAATTTTTAATGTAACTTACGCTTCAGCTGGCACAGCAGCAGATATCGTGTAGATTCCGCCATCTTCATCAGCTTCACGGGTAACACGAGCTTTGTGGTCACACTGGACGTCAATGTCCAAATTCTTACACTCTCGAGTACCTAAATGCAAATAGTGTTTGAATTTATTTTTTTCATCAACTTTTCTTTGAGGGGTCATTCTGATTTATAACTTTGCGAAAAATTACTTTGGTTTACATTTTTCGAAATTTAAAATAAGGTAGAAGTACCGTCTGTGGCCACTGTACCGTGTATAGCCATTTATTGTTCAAATAAACGATAGAAATGGATTTATACTAATGATAATAAACCATTACAAACTCGATTTGTTTTAATATAAATTTTTTAAAACTCAACAAAAATATGGTTATGATATTATAATTTTTTATGAATTAATTCAAATGTTAACTGACCAAAAATGATGCTAAGGTGAACAAAAACGGTACTTCTACCCTTTCTAAAATTATTGTGTTACAGTTTTTAAGTAATCGGGCCACTGTAACTTTATTATTTGACAATGTTTGTATGAAAGATCGAGTATAAGAAAATCGAATTTTTAAAAAAGCTGAAAGGATTTTGTATGGTGCCGGCATTGCTGATTGACTTTAAAAAGTTTGGAAAATCCAAAAGCGCACGCCTCATAACGCTAATTTATTTTTTAAGAAAAAAATAAATTGTGTAATTGATAAAAAAAAAAAATAATAATTAAGTAATTGCTTACAGAGTATTTTTTATCTTTTTTTTAATATCGGCGCCCGTTTTTCTTGTCGTATCCGCACGCAGTCTAAAAAAATCTAGCTTGATTAAGTGGCGCCATAGTTTTCTCGTGAGAGAAATAAGAAAAGTTCGTTTGTTTTTGTATGTGTGTATAGTAATAAATTTTCATAAAAATTCAATTTAAAAAAAATGCATAAACTAGGCTACTGTTATAAAATACGGCACCAGTTCATCGAATTCTTAAACTAATCAAAAAAACCCGGTCTTGAAATATCAATTTGTTCAGGAGTAATCGTTGGTACATACAAAATGTAGTGACAGGACGCTCACATAAAATTTTTTTCGAAACGTTTTTTTTTTTTTTTCAAAATACCAACATAAAATGATTTTAGAAAAATAAGATGATTTAATTTGAATGTTTTCTAAGTGTACATCTACTTATATTATTGTATAAGTGCAATATGGTTTTGATAGAGGCATTTGAAGATCACAAAATTGCTTAACCTTAACGAGTCAGGTATCACGCGCTTCGCACTATGAGGCGTGCAATAAGATTTTTTAATTATAAAAACACTGTAAACGCGTTTATCTCAGAACTATGTTTTTGTAGTTGACGTACATGATTTCTTCGAAACTACTGACCCGATCCTAATGAAGCTCAATCCACATATTCTACAATAATAGCTATTGTATCAGCTACAACCAAATCAAAATTTTGTTTTTTACTATTTTTTTAGGACTAAAAACTGTGAAAAGAAGCTTCATTTTTTTCCTAATGTCCGTAATTTTGTTATTTATTAATAAATATTAATCTCCGTAACTGGTGCAATAACTATTTATATATTAAAGGTAAATAATTTTGGTTTTTAGATTAGAATGACCCTTTCATCAACTATTGACATTAACGGATAGAGTATTACCTTCTAGAGAATAAGAACAGAAGTTCCAATCTCTATTCAGAGCATTGACAGCATTTCGGACCTTCTGTTTCAGAACACCTTGACCAGCTTCGTTACACAAAACAGATGTAGGGAAGTTCATTTTTATTCTGAAAACTCGTTGAGCTGGTGTGGCAGCGGTACATGCGGGATAAACAACTGGTAAGCTAGGATCGTTGGTCGGACGCCAGAATCCTTCAGCACCACATGTATAGAATTTGGGAACTTCTTGTGAGAATCTAAGCCCTGAGTTACAAGATATCTCGCAGACCTTAAATTGACCTCCCGAACCCCAGTCCTTGCACAGTTGTGATCCTCCAATAGGATCTGCCAATTCCTGACAAAACTCTGAGAGAACGTAGACTTTGAAGTTGCAGCTAGCCGAGTTGCCCGCTTGATCGTAAGCAACATAGCTGATGTCATAAGTTCCCCACAATAGAGTCTGTCCAGATCGGTGTCCACTCTTCTCTTGTACCTTAACAACTCCAACGTTATCAGAGAAACGAGGTTCATCCCAGTTTACAATTGACGATCCATTCTTGGCAATAACCCACAAGTCTCCAGGACAATGGTCAACCTTAGGAGTACTTTTGTCAGCTTCCAGTTGTTGGCATTTAGAACCTCCGTAACCAGGTTGACAGATTCGCTGTCCGCAATGCGAAGGAACGACTCTTTCAACGCCTCCGATACTCTCGTCGTAACCAGCCCAGGTTAATACAAGACCTGGATACAACACCGGCTCAGTTCGGCAATCACGGACTTGCTTTTGAATTTCGTTGGTAACATGCAAAGCTCGAGACCATACTTGTACTTTAGTCAAGTGCCCTTGGAATCCAGACTCAGTGTAGCCCTTGGGACTTTCTCCTTGCGGTTTTCCTAAAACTGTCCAAGCATATGAAGGTATGCTTCTTCCGCTACCGTATCCTTCAGTTTTACTGGCAATCAAGCCTTCAGTAATGAGAATCAGCTCTCCACCATTTTCTCCGTTCCAAACAACGGCTACATGATGCCACTGGCCATCATTGATTGTTGCGTACTCTCTAAATGGTAAATAAACATCTTGAACATCTGGGAACAAAGAGACTTGAACTCCATTGCTGTGGGCTTGAATCATTGCACGACGATTTGTGGGCACATGAGGCGAAGAAACACTGTATAACGTGAAGAATATTCCCGCTTCATCTTTTTGAGTAAATTGTACCCACATTGCGATGGTCAAACTCTTCTGTGCACCCGTGAAGAATGGTATCACCTGAGCGGCGCTACTTCTCGTTGGATCGGTGAAGTAGAGATCATAGTCTACTTGGATTGACTTTCTACAGTCGTCACCGGTCAAATTGAATGGACATTGACAGAAAAATTTGCCAGTTAAATCGATACACGTAGCAGAAGGAGGACATGAATTCTCCTTACAATCAATAATGTCATCTTCACAAGTTTTGCCGGTATAACCTGGTGGACATATGCAAGTAAATCCGGATCCATTGTCGATACAAGTAGCGCCGTTTTTACATGCACCAGCTTGGCAAGCGTCGTACTCATACTGACAACCGATTCCTGTAAAATCATCAGGACAAGTACAATTCAAGCCTGAGCCAAAGTCTTGGCATTTTCCCATGTGCATGCATGGATTACCGATGCATCTTTCTGGAGCTGTTTCACATTGTTTGCCATCAGTACCCGAAGGGCAGACACAGAAGTAATCGAGGAACAGATCCACACACATCGCGTCATTCTGACATGGTCTATTGAGACACATTCCCACGTCTTGTTCACATTTATCGCCGGTCCATCCTTCCGGACATACACACTTATAGCCTCCTACTTCATCACGGCATGAAGCACCATTAAGACAAGGGTTTGAGGCGCAGTCATCAATATTGACTTCACAAAGTTCACCTGTATATCCTTCGCGACAGTGACACAGGAACTTGTTATCCAGGTCAACGCAACGATCCATACCAACTGGGTTGCATGGATCGCTTAAGCACTCGTCGATTTCAGCCTCACAATGTAGACCAACAAAGCCAGGTCTACATTGACATTGATAACCATCAAGCTCGTCCATACAAGTAGCACCGTTTTGACATGGTCCTGAAGCGCAATCATCAATAGTATGCTGACACTGTTGACCCGTGTAACCAGGTTCACAAGTACAAATATATCCTGCAGTTTGATCAAGACATTGGCCATTATTCTTACAAGGCTTGCTGGCACACTCATTAATATTGGTTTCGCAAGCGGCACCTGTCCATCCGGGATGACAAATACATTCATGATGGAACAATTTGTCGATACAAATACCGTTCAAACATGGGTTTCCGGAGCATAAATCAATTTTTTCATGACACCGTTTGCCAGTAAATCCTGGAGGACAATCACACGTAAAATCGGCAACCAAATCTGTACAATTAGCACCAAGTAAGCACGGTCGTTCTGCACAATCGTCGGTATTAATTTCACAACTTTGGCCTTCCCACCCGGGTAAGCAGTCACACTTGTAACGGCCTTGTTGTAATGCTACACAAGTAGCGCCATTATTGCAAGGATTTCCACTGGCAGTGCATGGGTTTATCGTAACATCACAGTCAACTCCAGTGTATCCGGATCTACAGAGACACGTGTGATTGTTGTAACCTGGTTCATCTTTGCACATAGCCCGTTCAGGACAAGTGTCATTGGAACAATCAGATTTTTCTTCTTGACAATTGATACCTGAATAACCAATTGGACATTGACATCGGTATCCTTGTGGTAGATCTATACACGTGGCTCCATTATAACAGGGTTGTGATGCACATTCATCGATGTCTATTTCACACCGTCGTCCGGAAAATCCAGCTGGACAGAAACATTGGACACTGTGTCCCATTGGTAAGCATAGCCCACCGTGTTTGCAGACAGACTCAGTACAAGTAACGGGCTTACAGGCTTCACGACCGGTTGCACCTGATTTATCAGTGAAGGTGTCAGTAGGACATTCCGTGCATGTGGTAGCACCATGTTGAGGTTGATAGAAATTCTTAGGACACTGTGCACAAGGCGCAAGACCTGTGTCAGAATACATTCCTGGTGCACACTTCGGCCTACAACGATCACGTCCTGGAGCTGCTGGTTGATACGTGAATGTTCCTGCTGGGCAAGTTTGACAGTCTTTATAACCACCAATCGGTGGTTCACCAGTGTAACTATTTCTTGGACATTCTAAACAAGGTACTAAACCATTAGGTGAGTATGTGCCATATCCACAGACTGGTACACAGTCATCAATGGTCTTTGTGCCTTGTTCTTTGGTATAAGTACCGAAAGGACAACGTAGACATGATCCTTGACGATCGCTGTTCTGATAGTATCCTTTTGGACAAGATATACACTGTTTTTGTTTCTGTTCACTTGCGTAAGTTCCTGCCGGACAATGAAGACACCTTGGTACATCTGCAGTGTCCATATTCAGTACTTCACCTATGCTGCAAGTAAAGTCACGGGAGACTGACGATTTCAGAGCACGCAGTGGTGGACATTGATTGCCTATAGATGACACGTTCAGAAGTGGTTCTATTACTGCGCTGGCATATGGCAGAGACAGATCAAAGATCAAATTCAATGCTGAGCCACACAGATCGTACAGTTTTGGTTGACGAATTACTGGGACAACTACTAAGATGAAATCCATCTTCAAAAGGTTTTCTTCTAATAGCATTGGAATTGATCGTATAAATGAAACATTAGTGTTTACGGTAACTATTGAACAACGTTGCGTTAGAATAGCGTTCAAGTCCATGTAGTATTGGGCCATCAAGTCTTGATACTGAGGAAGACATGATCTGGATACTGCTCCATTAGCTCGATAAATTACTGTGGCATTTACATGGTAATCTGCTTGTTGGGTATTCTCTGAAACACAATCAGGTACCACAGATGTTGGAGACCAATGTTTAATTGGATCACAAGTGAATGTTTTTGTTGGGGCACCATTAGTAAATCGGTAGCCTGATCTACATGTTGCAATGCACTGAAGCGCTTTGTCACCAGGAGCACATTTCAAACCACCATTAGCCGGTGGTTTAAGTTCCCAATCTACACATGGAGTTGCCTGTACTGAAACTTGAAAGTGACAAGACGCACGGTTTCCGCTTGAGTCTGTTGCATATACAGTGACATTCTCGAATCCTCCAATCGGAATTACTGCACGTTCTGGTGAAAATGTTACTGTAACTGGTCCTGAGGCATCAGTAGTATTGATCCGTCTTCGTGTTTCATTAAAGTTAACATTGTAATTGTCTTGACGATCGACTAATTCGATAACATAACTTTGTGGACAACTTAGCTTAGGCGGTGTTATATCTGGCACTGTGATATTAATCTCGCAAATAGCAACATTTCCGTCGTAATCAAACGCAACATACTTGACAACCGTGTCTTCAAAAATCCTTATTGGTGTCTTGAAACTCTCCGGTTTAACTTCTAAACGAGCTATACTGCCACTGTTATCAACAGCAGTTGGTTCGGTGAAATTTACTGGCAGCAATTCTCCTCCTGGTCCTTTTTGTACCATAATTGGTTGTTGAGGACAGTTTTGGAAGACAGGCGGTTCATTGTCGACACATGGAGAATAACCATAATCATAACCCAAAAGTGGCTCCACAACTGGCTCTTCACAACCCATTAATTCAAATTTCAAACAAGCGTTATCCACAAAACTAACGATTCCCAAAATAACAAAACGTGCTTGAACGTACTTAGGCAATGTAATCATTGCTAATTCACCATAATTGCCAGGATCACGTGTCGTTAAATTGAAGTTCGGGAAATATACAACGTAGTTTTCATTTTCGGATTGTTTGTAGAAGAATCGTATTTCTGTAGGTCTTCCTACTATATCGTTAGTAATGACTCCTTTAACTAAAATAGCTTTGACTCGGAATACTTGACCCAAATCAACGCTGACGTAAGTAAAGTCCCGTTGTCCTGGCTTGTTAAAACTACACCAACCAGTTACAGAATTCAATCTTACATTTTTAGCTTCATAATTAGGTCTTTCCGAAGTAGCGTTTATCGCTGAATCAGGAATGCGTCCTGATGCAAGACCCAGTGGCTTAACAACACGACATTCGGGTTCACGTTGACAAGTAATAGGACGCGGATTAATCAGAATATAACCTGGACGATTACATCCGAAGTTTACCTCAGAACCTTGTTCATAACTTCTTGCTACTTGGAAACCATCACTTGGTCTACCAGGATCTTCACAAACCGGTCCTTCACATCTCAAGTCACCAAAGTCCCATACACCGTTTGCTTGGCAACGTACTACGTTGTCATGACGATTTGTTTGACCAGCTAATTTAAAGGTATCTTGACAACCGAAGAAGAACGATGACTGATGTTTAGTGTCTGCATATTGTCCGTACTCTGCACCAGGAGTTGGTAGAGGCTTTCCACAATTTGATCGGGGACAAGCTGGTTGGAATCCAGAGAGCCAGTAATCTGGTAGTCCTGGTTTTGGATCATACACACACTGCCTAAAGCCTGCAGTAGCTGTATTCCGTAAGTAGCGTCCTGAATTACCACATTTCAACGTAACGTTCTGTCCAAAAGGTACCAGAACACTAGTTTCATCAGATCTAATCACTGAGAGACCTTCATTTTTGTCATCTGGTAACGATACACATTTAGCAAACTGACACTCAGGCGTTGTTCCGTTCCAAGCACCACTTGATGTACAAATAACAGCTGATGATCCAGCTAAAACGTATCCAAAGTTACATTGGAACCTTATAATGTCTCCAAAGTGGAATTGGTTTTTAGTGACCATTATTTTTCCATTTTCAGGAGCCGGTAAATTGGGACACATCACAGGTACGCATGTCTTATTACGTTGATACAAATCACCATCTCTTTCTCCGGTTTCTGACCTAGCAATCGCGAATCCAGCCGTTCCATTACCTTTGTACAGTTCATAACCAGTATTACACATACATGAATAGCTACCAGGACTGTTGATGCACTTTTGATGACATCCGCCATTGTTGTTAGCACACTCATTAATATCAGTACACTCGAGTCTTGTACAACCCATCAACTCAAGCTTGATACAGGGCGCTCCTACGTAATCCTGTATGCGGAATCTGATGTATCGTGCTTCTATGAGAACTGGTAAGTTTAGAATAGACAGAATAGGCTCAACCGTTCTGAATTCAACTGGTGTACCATCAGGGTTTGTGTAATCAGTGAATGCATCAGTCAAATCATCTGTGTATTGTATACGTATTGCAGAAGTGAATGCAATGTTTCCATCCAATCTAGCAACAACTTGGGTACGGAATCCGCGGATAATCGTGGGAGCTTTCATGTCAATCATCACCCAATTCATACCACGTTCTACGTCATTGCCACACCACCCGTCTCCGCTATTCAACCGAACTCCAGCTTTCGAATATCCATTTTCTGAGCTGCTAACTGTGATAGATTCATCCGGGATACCACCATTGATCATACCCAAGTCACCAACCGACCGACAGTCCATTGCAGGAGTGAATCCTGATTTACATTTACAAGAAAAAGCACCAGGTGTATTGACACACTCAGTTGATGCTAAATCACACTGACTTGAAGCACACTCGTTGATGTCCTCACACGATGGAACATTTTCAAACCTTTGTTCCGCTCCACATGTAATTATATTCGATCCAGTGAGCTTGTAACCACGGTTACACTGTACTCGGGCTTCATCTCCGTAGAAATATTCTTTTGATGTATCAACCAAAAATCCGTTCTTCAAACTCGGCAGTATCGCACATTTGGCACGCGAACAAGTAGGGACGTTGTCTGACCAAGTGCCATTTGACATACAGAGAATGACTGGATGACCTGTACGAACATAGCCAGGTTCGCACTCAAACCTTACAATGGTACCGTAACTTCTGCCACCGCCATTCAAAATTGTGATGTTAGCGTTTGGTGCTTCAGGTAGTGGAGCACACTGTGAAGCTAAGCACGAAGGTTTCTTTTCCCATCTGCCATCAGCTAAACACGAGATCTTTTCAGTTGGTCTTCCGGATGGGAATGCAAAACCTGCGTAGCATTGATAAGTCGCAAGTCCATGATATGTTACATTGGAAGATCCAATTGAGAAACCATTATCTATTTGGGGAACTGGTCCACAGTAGACTTCCTGGCATTTTGGAATGTACGTCACTGACCAGTTACCTCCCGGTAAACACTCTGTCGTGATTTTCGGCTTACCTGTCGCAAATTCCTGGCCCAAAGGACAGGAGAATGTGATAACTGTACCGAATGCAGTGTCACGGCTGCTTGCCAAAGCCCCTTCACCTGGTAGAAGATGAGGACAGTCTGCAGAGAAGGTTGCTTGCCATCCAGTGGCGCTTCTCAAAGCATCTGAAACAAATCTAACCAGCATTTCACCGCTTTCTGCAGTCAGAGTGATTTTAGGACGTGTGTTTGAGGTGAAACCATTTCCGGAGTGTAACCTTAAGCCATTTGTGTTTGATCCATCGTAAACTTGAACGTAGTCGGTGTTGTGGACGTTGAAATTGGTGAATTTCAGAGACAACGCAACGCCTTTTGGATTCTTGATGCGATAAAGACACTCCTGATTGTTTGGATAGTCATTGAGCCCGTAAGAAGGTGATTGAACGGTGCCGTTTAGCGCGACGATAGTTGCACGGCAACCTTGGGTGTAGCGAATACTGAAGCCACGACGTGAGTCTCCTAGCGAGGTCTTGAAATAGAGGTACAAATTGTTACTAGTTGATATAATGACTGCTGGATTGTTTTCTGTCTTGCCGGTAAGACGGGCAATTGGACGGCTCATTGGTGATTCCCCATCACGGACTAAAATGTAATCACGATTGGTTTGCAGATCAAGTTCCTCTATTTCTATAGAAATGATTCGGCCTGGTTGAGCTTGAAGTATGTACAAGCACTCGAGACCTCCTGGGTAATTTTGCGGATATCCTGGTGATGTTAATACTTGTCCTTGAGGCGTAGCTCGTAATATTCCTCCACATGTTTGTGGCTCAGTTTTCCATGACGCACGGAAACCTTTGCGCTCTACTGATCCATCAGTACTGAATTTAATTATCATGAAATTCGACGCCGATACGAAACGTTTGTTAGATAATTCTTCTTTGCCTGATAGTGTTGCTAAGTTAACAGACTTTTCTTCCGTTCGTCCGCCAACTAAGATCTGCACGATATCAAAACTCTTCTCCGTTTCAAATTCTTGAAATTGCAGAAGAATATTGTGACCCTGCGGGCCTTCTAATGTCCATTTACAGTTACTCAGTGGCGTGTATTTGTGCGGATAATTAGGACTTTCAACCACATCACCGCTACTTGCCATGTAATATTGACAATTGTTTGGACAATCAATCTCGTCGGAATAGTCACCGCAGTCGTCTTGCTTGTCACATTTGAATGCTGCGTTTATACACTTGCCGTTTGAACAGTGGAATGATCCTAAAAATTTATGTCATTAATGAAGATGAAGGAGAATATAATTAAGAAATAAAAAAAAATTGTATTTTAACTTAACACTCAGTGTTACTTGAATTGAAAAAATGAGCTTACGTCAGTTGTTTTACGTAAACTGATTTTTCTGACTCGAGCTTAGCATGATAAGTAAATACATCTTCGGTATTAAGAGGTCATTCTGGTTTTTAACTTTCAAAATAATTTTTTTTTACTTTTTCAGAAATTACATATACCTAAAAGTATTGTGTGACAATTTTACAGTGATCGAGCCACTGTAACTTTATTATTTTACGATGTTTATATGAAAATTCGAGTGAAAAAAAATCGAAGTTTTAAAAAGACTGAAGGGATTTTGTATGGTGCCGGCATTGCTGATTGACTTTAAAAAGTTTGGAAAATCCAAAAGCGCACGCCTCATAACACTAATTCATTTTTTAAGAAAAAAATAAATTGTGTAACTGATTAAAAAAAATAATCAAGAAATTCCTTATAGAGTATTTTTTATTTTTTTTTTTAATATCGGCGCCCGTTTTTCTTGTCGTATGCGCACGCAGTCTAAAAAAATCTAGCTTGATTAAGTGGCGCCATAGTTTTCACGTGAGCGAAATAAGAAAAGTTCGTTTGTTTTCGTACGCATGTATAGTGGTAAATTTTAATAAAAATTTAATTTCAAAAAAAATACGTAACCTAGGCTACTGATATGAAAAACGGCACCAGTTCATCGAATTCTTAAACTAATAAAAATAGCCCGGTCTCGAAATATCAATTTGTTCGGGAGTAATCGTTGGTACATACAAAATAGAGTGACGTCCACGTAAAATTTTTTTTGAAACGTTTTTTTTTTTTCATAATAGCAACATTAAATGATTTTAGAAAATATAAGGTGATTTAATTTGAATGTTTTTTAGGTGTACATCTACTTATATTATTGTATAAGTGCAATATGGTTTTGATAGAAACATTTGAAGATCACAAAATTGCTTAATTTTAACGAGCCAGGTATCACGCGCTTCGCGCTATGAGGCGTGCAATAAGATTTTTTATTTTTTAATTAGACAAACACTGTAAACGCGTTTATCTCAGAACTGTTTTTGTGGTTGACGTACATGATATCTCCGAAACCACTGACCCGATCCTAATGAAACTTAACCCACATATTCTACATAGTAGTAGCTATTGTATCAGCTACAACCAAATCAAAATTTTGATTTTTACTATTTTTTTAAGACTAAAAATTGTGGAAAAAACCTATAAAAATTTAAATTTTTTTTCTAATGTCCGTAATTTTGTTATTCATCAATAAATATTAATCTCCGTAACTGGTTCAATAACTAATTCTATATGGAATGTAAATAATTTTGGTTTTTGTGTTTTAGATGAGCCGTTATCATGTATATCAGCAAGATACCATCGTTTGGAGGAGCTCTGTTCGCCCGTTTGTTCATATAAAAATTTACATATTTTTTGTACTATTCAAGAGTGTATTTGTTGAGCTGGATAAAGTTTATTTTACTATCAGTAATAGTTTCTGTGTGAAAAAAAATCATAAATTTAGGCTTTTTTTCAATCTTCGGAACCAGAATGACCCCTTAACAATTTTTGAAAATTAAATGATTAACTGTACCTGCTGGACATGCATTTGCTTTACACATAAAAGGTAACAATGATTCACATGTTGTAAGTTCCCACGATTGTTGTTGATCATCAGAGATCGCAAAGTCTACACATTCGCCTGATTTTGGATCTGGTTGTTTAGAAGCCCAAAAACCTAAAAAAAAATTTCTTATTACATTTTATACAAAAACTTTTCCATTAGTTATCTCTTAATAAAATTTCAAATCATGGTGTAAGCTGAAATAATTAAAAAATTAAGAGTTGATTCATTGGGACCGTAATTAGAAAGTATTTTTTTTTTTTCTTATTTTTATGTTACTTGGTAAATTTTCTCAGTTATGTAAATCAAAACAGAGGGAGGAAACTAATTTATGGAGATTTCCGGGATTACCTCAAGTTGCGTGAATCTCGTGCACACATCTTATGTTTACGCTGTTACAATTGTCAGATTAACGCATACATTAAGTGAATAGAGAAAAGTGTGTCTTGGTGCCACCGAGACTAACGTGAATGTTAGTTCCGCATTTCCGCGACCTCGATCCGATCGACGCTCTTAAATAGCGTGTTAACATATATCAATGATACATTCACACAATTAAATAGACTCTTTTTACGCTTTTAAAATGGCAAAATTTTTCTTTTTATTACACTAAAAAATTTATTAATAGTAATCTTCATCCGATATAAATAATTAAGAAGAAATTGAAATCGTAAAAGCGAGACAATTATTCAAGTATTAATTAATTAAGTTACATGTTTTACGATTCAAATCTTGACAACGTAAAATGAGCATGAAGTCATGAGAAAAAAAATCTATTGTACAATTAGAACGATTTTATCTCTTACATATCGAATGCATACTTGAGAATTTAACTGTTGCATAGATGTTAAATAATATTGTCAAGAAATTCTTAAGTAATTATTATTTATTCTAAACTGATAAAATAATTATCTTGCCAACAACAATTTTCTTAAATCAAGAATAATTTCTTGGGTCAAGAATTTTTTTTTCCTGACTCAAAAAAAAATTTTTTTCAAGATGGTAAAATTTTTTCTCTTCAGCTACGGTAACTTTTAATTTGTGTAAGATGTTTAAATTGATTTAAATTCATCGGGGTAGTTTTATAATATTAACAACATATAATTGTTGATAAATAATTACCTGCATACTGAGAAACAAGCATTCCTGCAGCAGACTCTAACGTATTCGTTCTTAGATCATCTAACGATGCTAAGCCCAACCAATATTTATCCAAATGTTTTCCTACAATACTTGCAGACATATTGTTCTCGCTGTATGATTCAACTACCATCAGTTCACTTCCATATCTATTTAAAAAGAAAACATAAATAAATTATTACCAACAGTGATTGGAATTTAAATAAATTATAATAATTAACAAACCTTCGGCATAATTCGGCGGCTTTTTCCCACGAATGTTTGATGTTGAAAAATTTATAACAATATATTCCTTTGAGCTCCCAACCTGCGTGATTAAAATATTATTTAAGTTAATAAGAGAAATTCTGTCGTAAAATCAAGTCAAGTGACATGAAAATAAATGGTATTAAAGAATACGATAGAGAAAAATAAACTGACAAGGAATTATTATACATCCTCCATCAAGTACATTAAGAGAAAAAAATTATTTTTAAAAAAAATGAGTTCTTACAATAAGTTAAAAAATTTTAACAATTTAATTTTTTAGCTGAAGAAATCAAAATTTTTTTCACTGTAACTTTCTTGTTGGAAAAAAAGTTTTTTAGTTTGGAAAACAACAATTTTGGACAAACAACTTGCGAATTTTCATTCAAAATTGTTTTTTTCTAAATATAAGAAATTTTTTTTCATTAAGAAAATTACCGTGAAACAATTTTTATTTTTTCAGATAACAAAAAAATGTTGAAAATTTTTGATCAATTAATTTATTAAAAGTATATTACTCATTTTTTTCAAGAAGAAAATTATTACGAGAAAATTTTTGATTTTTTTAAGCCAAGAAATAAAATTGTTGAAAATTTTTTAATAAATTAATTTGTTATTACAATGTTTCTCATTTTTTTCAAGAAGAAAATTATTATGAGAAAATTTTTAATATCTTCATCCAAAAAATAAAATTGTCTAAAATTTTCAACAAATTAATTTGTTATTACAATGTTTTACTCATTTATTTCAAGAAGAAAATTTGTTACGAGAAAATTTTTGATTTTTTTTATTCATGAAATAAAATTGTTTAAAATTTTGAAGAATTTAATTTCTTACTACAAAAATGCCCATTTTTTCCAATAGAAATTTTTTCTCTCAGTCTATAACATGATAATAAGCAATAAAGATTAGAGACATGTTAACCCTGCATAGGACAATTGAAAATGAAGTATATTAAGTATTTGAGAAGATTGTTTAAGTATAGATTATATACAAGTTAAATATATAGTAGTAATATGGAGAAAGGTGATCGACCGTTAGGAATATTCTTCCGAAAGGCGGCTAGTGACCCATTACATATACTCTTACATTATTATTATTACATATACATGTGTATTGATATATACCCAGACGACAGAAAGACAGAGAACCCAAGAAGAGACTTAACTCAGAAAGTCTTGATTTAAGTCTCGACCTCGATCGTTTTTAGTGCGACGCACGAGTAAACGCGATCGAGCCAAAGGATGAGTACATACAATATTGTATATACACACAAAAGCTTTTAATATGTGTCTACGTCTGTGCTGCACATGTGAACAAATCTCACGTGTTGTGGATAGAAATCGAGGAGGTGAAATGCCGATTTCGACGTTGGCATCTTTATTCTTTTCCTCCATCCTTATTTATGTCTCTTTACTTATGTATATACGCTTTTTTATTGTGTTTAGTTGATGTAAAGGGGTTACAGACACCATAACCCAATAATGCCTCGTTTGACAAAATAATTTATGTAATTCATTTTTCGTAAGATTACTTTATTATTTGGACTGTGAACTGTTTAATAATATGTTATTAATGTATCTTGTGTCAATAACTCTTAACGATTTAATTATATTGTAAATTATAAGTCTTACAGATCTATAACGGATACTAAATAGAGATTGGTCACGAAATGTTTAATTGTTACTCTCTTGGTATTTGAAATATTATTTGCTTCACTTCCTTATTACTGTTTGTATACATTTAAGTTTAATAAAGAAAAGCAATTATGAATGAAACATGCGAAAAAAAATAGATTGCAAGTTTTAAAATCAAATAAAAAAATTTCAATAATAAAATTTTTTTTTTCCAATCTTACATTTAAAAATTTTAATCAATATTTAATTTTCTTCTTCTATTTTTTTTTTTAATTGTAATATTCTTACGGAAATGGATTAGAAAAAATTATAAAAAATTACGAATCTCTAGTTATATAATTTCAAACTACGTGATTATTACAAATTTTAAATTACCGAAAAAAAAATTTTGAAGTAAGGAAAAGTCAATGTTACTTTACTTATTAGTAAAAATTTTTCAACTCAGACGTTCTCCATAATTAGATCATCATATCGACGAAAATTTTTTACTATGAATAAACAAATAAAGGAATTATTATCTATTTGAAAGTTCTTAAAAGAGAAACAGGCGTTAGAAGTATAGCCTATAAGATTGATTAAAATTCGAAATTTTTAATTAATTTATAGAAATGATATTTCTAATGTATTCATCAACAATTGAGGAGTTTGTATAAATAATCAAGGTAGATTTGAAATTAGTGATCTTTTTAGGTACTTTCGAATGGATCTTTTTTCGGATGTATGTATGTCAGAAATATCACTTTTTCGAAGAATACTTTATAAAATTTCAGTAGTAGTATTCGCCATTAAATCATTTATATAATTGAAATAATAAGGAAAATTTTATCTCCGGCGTATTTAAATGATAAAATTAATTTTTTAAATTGAATTTAAGATCATTGGAAAGGTATTGAATTGAATATGTGTCTTTTCATTGTTTCATGTGCTTTTCAGCAATAGTTAATTTATTATGATAAGTTTTCGAAGTAGTTGTAATAGATTCGAATATCACGATAAGCGTTATTTGTTTTTTTATAAAGAAACATTTTTGATGCAATGACACAAAATGTTTGTATTAAATATTTAACACTTTTAAGTGTTAATTTAACATTTATTTGTGTCAATTCTTTTAAATCAACACAAAGAAGTGTTCAATGTTTAACACAAATTTATTTAACGCATTAACGCAAAAATTTTTGCTGTGTTGTTTTGTACAAGTGAATGTGGTTATAGGTCAAAAATTAATTTGTAAAATTAAGAGACTATAAAAAATTTTGTAACGGGTATATCTTTATCGTAAATTAGGTTTGATATTTTTTCAGTCATAGTCATTTATGATTTAAATAATTTAGAGAGTGAGGAACATTTTGTGACAAGCATATTATTATTTTAAAAGGAATTTTTATAGTTAAATTTGATATCATCAGAAAAGTCCTAATAAGAATTTATGCCTTTTCATTTCATATATTTTTAAGTAGTCAATTTTTTATGTCAAGTTTTTGGAGGAATTTTGAATAGTTTGTTGATTCTATAAATTTTTCTGTCAAATTTATCCATTAAATTATTTGTAATTGATCCTGTGATAGCTCTATTATTTTTTAAATTTATTTACAAAATACTCCAACTATATATAGTGTTTATATAAAAAAATCATTAAGCCAAGCTTTTCTTATTTATAATCCGTAAATCTCGGGAGTTGCATAGTGACTGCAAGTTGCTAGTTTATATTATTATTTTTCGGTTTTTATTTTATTTGAACTTCTTTATTTAATGAAACTGAATTGAATATTTTCTAGTATTTTTCTAAATCGAAACTTGTCCCTCTGGCTGGTTGATCACAACTCCAAAAATCTACCTTAATATTTCTATCATGGCTGCTGTAAGCAACTTATCGATATGTGATGTCACTATACGTACAGTTTTCTACTTGAAGGTTCTTAGTATCGTCGTTACATAAAAATTTAAAAAAAAGATCGATTATATACAACTCAATTGAGAAAGCATTCGCAAAAAAAGTTTTAATAAGATAATGATAATTTTTAACCACGGTATTTACAACAAATAAACATAAATTTATAACTTCAAATATATTATCCAATTCAAAGATTTAAAATATAATGATTAATGAAACGAGTATGATATTTCCTCATAAGACAATCTAAAAATAAATAATAAAGTGAAATTCAAATCGTCAGAGAAAAATTAAAAATAAATATTAAGAGAAAATATTCAAACGCATACTACATTAAATATGCTGCCAATACTTTATTCATTACGTCATTGTAATTTTTTTTTTTCACTTCATAAAGACTTTTACTTCTCTCGAAAGGTCAACTGGGCATACGGTACATTCTGCAGCTTCTCTTTCTCTCTTACTCTTTAGTAATCACACAAATATTTTCCAATCCATTCATCGTCTCTTTATTCTTCGCGTTCATTACGCGACGCTTCATTATTACTTTCATGTGTAAAAAACATAAAATCAAAAGTTAATAAAAACAATTTTAATCATTTTCCTTTCCAATTAAAACAACCGATCAGTCAAAATAAAAAATAGTAAAAAATAAGCCCATTATTCTTTTAAAATTCACACAAAAAATTTTATATTTTAAGACATGATGTTGTATATGCAGCAGAATATAGAACCCATGCTCATCTCTAAAGAATGCTGTTCTTCTTCTTACTTTTTTTTCTTTATTGAAAAAAACTCGCTCTATTCTTCGCGCTGAAAATTCTGTTTCTGCACAATCCCAACAATAAATAATAATAATTTATAATAAAAAAATTACACGAATATTTCAGTATGTTCTGAACATTTTAATACAAAATTATATAAGACGTTTGTTAATTAGAGTGGTGAGAAAAAATGAATCTGTAGTTATATATAATTCATAATTAAACACGCATGTGCTATGCAATATGTTACGAATAATTAGCAAATTTAAAAACAATGGCTCTTAGGGTTGCGTTAAAAAATATTATTCGCACGCTTGACAACTCTGTTCTACTTTTCTGGTGCGATATAGCGAGTTACAATTATGTAGGTTGCGGAGTGTAAGATTTTTTTTGCCGTTAGCTGAGTTTTAAAGCAAGTTATCCGTAGTAAATACTGTGTCTATTTTATTCCTTTTCTTTATTTTATTACATTAATATATTTGTCTTTCTCTTTCTTCTTCTCATACTGATCCGCGTTTGATGTGTGATTCAGCCTCATTAAACTCTCAAGTTGGCTCCATTACATTTCCTACTTTTTAGTTCCTCTTTCTCAATGAAATTCTTTAATGACAATTCTACATTCTTTCGGTTTATGTGTCATCAGAAGTATCTGTACAGTATACGATCTACGATGCTTTCTTCGTCATTATTCCCTACTTTACTTTTTAATTTTAATTTACAATAAGGTAAAAGCCCCCAGAATTAACACTATTAGAGTGATCATGAATATTTGAATTTTTTTAACGTGTTTCAAATCAATATTGTCAACTTTTTTTTAAGGACACCTTAATTACTGTTTTTACTTATATAATTTAATTAATTTACTTAAGCAGCAATAAATTGAATAATTATTACATCAACTTAAAATCAACAAGTCGAATGTATGTATTATTGACAGCGCAAAAAATTCAAAGAGCCGATTATTGTCATATCATTGACTCTATTATTGACAGGTCTTTAATTACAGTTAAATTTATATTAACAATAATCATTTTTACTAACTAATGCAAAACTATTAATAATTTTTATTATTTTAAAATTCGTTTAAGACCTAGCTTTTCTATATTTTTTATCAGGTTTTTTTTAGCAATTTTTTCTAGTCTCAAATACTTTGATTCTTTATAAAATCACATGACAGTATGTAAACATCAACAATTGTGGTTATTAACAGATTTTAATAATGAAATAATATAATTAAATAGAGTGTCAATAATGGAGGCTCTGTCAATAATAGAAACTTTTACCTTATTAAATACACTTAGTTCTTAGTATATGATTAATTTATCTACACTGACTTTTAATTTATTAATTTTTGTTTAGCATTTAGAAAAGTTTAATAGACTTTAAGTCATTTAGATTTTTTTCACAGAAGTAGTAAGCAGGTTTAAAAAAAAACGCCCTTCAATACCTGGCATAGAAAATCGATTTTTCAGTTTTCAAAAAGATAGACCGGCGCTTTATGACCATTATAAATTTTCCAAGCTAACCGAAGGATGGGAATTAGGACGACCAGTAAAAGAAGGTGCAGGTAGATTGCAGGTTCACACAACCGAAGGGTCAGGTACTTTTTTTTAAATAGAAGAAGGGAGATGTCAAAGGTACAATAATAGCTTACCATTTGGACAGGTGAAGACATTGGAAACCTGTTGAAAAAAAAAGAAAATATTTTAGCATGGTATATAATTATTTTTTTGTTCTTAAACTATACTTTGACGTAATCTCGTATCTCGAAAATTAAAAACTAGAAAATTTGCAGTTTGAAATAACATTTTTTAAATTCAAATTTAATTTTCACAGATTTTAATGTAATATTTAAATTTTACAATCTAACTCTTACAAAATCTATAAAAATGGTAATTTTTCAGTTTTTTATAGAAAGCGCCACGGTACATTATATTATGTAATTTTCCCTATTTTTTTTCTCTGTGTAAAATGTCAAAATCTCGAAAAAATTAAAATTCATTATTTTTTCTACTACTTATTTCGAGTATTTTATTTACTCAAAATCAGATTATTTTTTTTAATTATCAGTATATGTACCATTAAAATTTCTTAGCCTAAATTTTTTATTAATCAGGAATATCAAAATTAAAAATAGTGACTTTAATGGAATTATAAAATTTTAGAATTATATTGAGAGAATAATATTGAGAGAATAAATTACTTTTGAAAAAAAATTGTTATGACAAAAAATTAATTTGTTGAAAATTAAAAATTTTTTCACAATAACTTTCTTGTTGCAAAAAAATTTTTTTGATTTCGAAAAAAAGAATTTTAGATAGGCAATTGGCAAATTTTCATTCTAAATTATTTTTTCTTGAATCTAGAAAACTATTTTTGACTAAGAAAATTTCTTCAGCTAAAAAATAAAATTATTTAATAAATAATTATTTTTAACAAATAAATTTCTCATTACATTGCTTATTTTTTTTTTTTAATAAATTCTCTCTTACAAATAACAATTTTAGATAGTCGGATTATCCTCGATGTTAACTTTCAAAGGTTAATTGTAAAAAAAAAGAGAATTTTCTTTTTTTTTTTTTTTCATCTAGAAAATGTGGTTTAATTTGTAAATATTTTAATCTCTAAATAATATGATTTAAAACTTTACAGATTTATATTTTGTGTATTGAATTTATTAGCTTAAGGTGTTTGAGGTCATAAAAATGAAAGTTGGATAAATAGAAAAAATAATTAATAAAGGAATAAAATTACAGTGACACAACTGTTGATGCATTCCAACGAGATCGAGTATAACTTGAGTACATACGCAATTGTATAAAATAAAAATATATCTAACTAACAAGTAAACCTCAAGCGCAATACAAGAGTACAAGTTGAGTACTAAACGCAATGCAACGGTTAATGTTACGTTTTCAATCTCGAATAAAAAAACCCGAGCAAGTATTATAAAGGTATAAAAGTATAGTAGCTTGTTTTTAAAAAATACTATTAACTTTTTTCATGTCTGTGCTTCTTCATTCGCTTTCAGTATTACCAAAGAAAATATAAGAAAAAAAGAATGAAAAACGTTGAACAGAAAATGAAAATATGTAATGAATAAGTATAATATATAATATATAATAGAGAGTAATTTATTAAAAATATACTACGGTTTTCATTCTAGTAATTTTGTGTCTAATGTATGAGAGAATAAAAATCTGTATTATAAATTTCCGGCCGAGTTTTAAGACTCAGTATATTCAGGTACTTTGGCATATGTGTAATTTAATGTATGTGCATCAAGTCCCTCGGTCTCGCTTTCACCGGTTGCAACTTATAACATAAACTCTTATATACATTATGTGTTTTATACTTTACTCAATGTACCTGCATCAAGAGACAGAAATGATTGAATTTTAAAGACACTGAGATAGAGAGAGAAAGGATTTTAAGTACTTATTCAACTTTTATCTCGTCCTACATGCAAGTTGAATTGCCAACAAGGACTTTTGGTATGTCAATTATTTAATTGGGATGTCTTTGCATTATTATTGCAGTCATATTATATTTCTTAAAAGATAAATCTGACGACGTAATATTACACTGAAGAAAAAAACTACTTGATTAAAGAAACATATTTTCTTTTAAATTTCATTAATCAAATTAAAATTTGAGGATTAAAAGCAGAAAAAGCTGTTTGATCAAGAATAATGCAAACTCAAAAAAGTATGTTAATGATTTTTAAATAAGATGCGCATACCCTTATGAAAAAAATATATATTGAAATATAAAAAATACACCAGAAATATATAAAAGGGGTCATTCTGGTTTGTAACTTTCAAAAAAAATTTTTTTTTTTAATTTTTCAGAAAATACATATAAGGTAAAAGTCCCAATAGATGATCATATACTGGTACGTGATCATCTATTGGGGCTTTTACCTTACCTAAAAGTATTGTATTACAATTTTTAAGTGATCAGAATAATGTAACTATACATTATTTAACGATGTTTATATGAAAGTTCGAGGGGGAAAAAATTGAATTTTTACAAAGGCTGAAGCGATTTTTGTATGATCTAGCATCGCTAATTGACTTTAGATAAGATTTTTTTTTTAATTAAAAAAATTTAAACCGCATATTCTACATAGTATTAGCGATTGCATCAGGTGCAATCAAACCAAAATTTTTATTTTTACCATTTTTTTAGTACTGAAAACTGTGAAAAGAAGCCTAATTTTTATTTTTTTAATGTTCGCCATTTTGGTATTTAGAAATAAATATTAATCTAAAAGCTGGTGCAATAACTACTTATATACTGAAGGTAAATAATTTTGGTTTTTGTGTTTTAGATGAATCGTTATCAAGTTATCATGTACGTCAGCAACATACCAAATTTTGGAGGAGTTCCAGTCATCCAATGTTAATTCATATAAACAATAAAAAATAAATAAATTTAGGTATTTTTAGTGTTATTTAAGTATATTTATTGAGCTGAATAAATTTTATATTAATATCTATAATAGTTTTTGGTAAAAAATCGTGAATATTGATTTTTTTTCGAGTGCCAGAACCAGAATGACCCCTTAACAATAAATTAATTATTTGTAAAAGTATATAAAATTTATTTTTAATTGTTAAATTTCGACAAATTTTCGTATATTTTTAATGCATTTTTATATTTAAAATATATCAAAAATCCATATGTAAATATATAAAATTATGTTAAAAACATTATGTAGTTTTCAAAAAATTTCTATAAAGTAAAAGACCCCATTAGTGACACTTTTTCTTTCAATGAAAAAATATTCTACTTGGAATAAAAATTCAAAATTTCTTTAATCTAAAGGTCTTAAAGATTAGAAATAATATATACATTATTGAAATTAATGATTTTATTAATTGAATAAGCACCAAAATCAAAAAAAGTGTCAGTAATGGGGTCTTTTACCCTACATATTTTATAATACTATTTATTATTTATTCATTTTTTTTATAAATTTTTTTCGTAAGGGTATACTTTGTGCAAAATTTTCTTTTTCTCAGATTAAGATACACACGAACAGCATTGGTTAAAGATATTACCGGCTTGTTTCAAAAATCTCATTAAAACTAAAAATTTTTCGATATTTCTTAATGAAAAAACTAATTATTAAACCAATATTATAAAGTTTTTATGATAAAATGAAACTAATAACAGTTCTTGAATAAATTTGATTGTATTGATCGAAGATTATATACTCTTGAATCAAACAATACTAGTTATCGATTGAAAATCTGATTTCCTTAAGTCAAGATTATAAGATTCAAAACAAGGAATTATTGAAGATTGAAAATACAATAAGATTTTATGCAATGTATTAAATAAATTAAAATTGATAAAATTACCTGAGATGATGCTATGTGTAGATGGCACAAGAGTACGGCGACCCAAACGGCCGCCACTGCTCTTATCAACATTTTTCTGTAACATAAAATAACAAACCAATGTAATAAAAGTTTGTAAAATAGTAAAAAATAAATATATAAAAGATAAAGTTATTGAATTCCTACATGGGAATGGTTTGAAAAAATTCATAGAATTTGATTACAATTGTTGATTGTCGACGTGATTATTATTGAAATCGGTATTGGTTTTGTTGTTTGTAAGATCAAAGAGATTTTTTTTAAAGAAAAATAAGATAGAGATGAACGGTCGCGTCGTAGGGTCTGATGCACCGCTAGTCGGATCCATCATCCCCATGGTATAATAACCGGTCTTGTACGTACTATATACCGGACCTTTTATATAAACCCTCGGCAGTGTTTCTAAAGCAATTTAAGTACGTGCTCGATCTCTTCCAGCTTTCAGCTCCTTCAATTTATGATTATAGTTTATTGTGATTTATACTACATGAAAAAAATTTATCAGGAACAAATCCATCATTTTTCTTTTAAATTGGTGGTATTTTCATGATCACGATCGTTAACTTTTAGGTGCCTGAACTTTTTGAATTCAAGAATTTTATTGAATTTTTTCTACGTTATTTTCTTAAAAAAAATGTTGAGAGATTGAAAAGTACAAAAAATAAAAATTTTTTACTGTAATTCTATAATTGAAATTCAATTTGAAACAAATTAAAATTTCAATTATTTCTTTAATTATATCATACACTACGGTAAGTAAATTTATTTTTTCACATGTTATGACTATCTTTATAATTAAAACTATCATGCAATCACTAAAAATTCTAACGAAAAAATCTTCAAGTGAAAACTTATCTTCATTTAAAATAATTAACTTTTTTCTTTCACAGAAAAGATTAAGTGAATTAAAGCGTCATAGTCAGCAACGATCTGATTTTAAATTAACATTAAACGAGTAACCTGCAGTTACTTTGCGACTGCCGAGATTTACGGATCATGACTAAGAAAAGTTTGGCTTCAAGTATTCTCTTCAAGGTGAGCTCATCTCGAGTTGAACTTCTGTATTTTAATTATCAACACTAAATATTATTGTTTTATATCACAAGTCAATTTTCAACATATAAATTATTTTTATTTAAATATTAATAATAATATTGATGAAATATAGCAACTATATATAGCTGCCGAGATTTACGGAGTATGAAATAAGAAAACTTTGGCTTAGCGATTTTTTGGTATTTATAATTACACTATACATAGTGTGGATACTTTTTAAATAAATATTAAAAATAATAGTGCTGTTACAGGATCAATTACAAATAATTTAATGGACAAATGTGACGGAACAAATTTACAGAACTAGCAAGCTATTCAAAACTCCTCCAAAAACTTGACATATAAAATTGACTACTAAAAAATATCTAAAACCAAAAAGCACAAATTCTTATCAAGACCTTTTTGATGATATCAAATTTAACTATAAAAATTCCTTTAAAAATAATAATATGCTAGTCACAAAATTTTTCTTACTCTCTCAATTGTTTAAATGATAAATGAATATCGCTGAAAAAATATCGAAACCAATTTACGATAAAGATATACCCGTTACAAAATTATCCTTAGTTCTTAATTATGTAAATTAATTTTTGACCTATAACCACATTCACATGTACAAAATAAAATAAATAAACAAACAAATGAACTGCGTCGAAAATTTATCATAATAAATTAACTATTTGTCAAAAACATATAATATGAAACATTTAAAAGACACAAATCGAGGTCAAAATCTTTCCAATGATACAAAATTCAATTTAAAAAAACTCATTTTATCACATTAATATGCCGGAGACAAAATTTTCTTTATTCTCTTAATTATATAAACTTCTCTACTAATTAGTTTATTCAAAAATAAAAAATTCTGTTAGTCAGATATAATTAATAAGTGTTTTTAGATTTTCATTTTATTATAAATTTAAAAACATTATTGATGATATCACATGCACTCTATTAAATTAATCATTAATAATTTGTATAGAAAGTTAAAATTTTTGTATTTTTCCATGTTATCTATAGTATTTGTCCCATAAAATTTTACTCTAAATGATAATAAATTATTTTCTAAATTTTTCTGTTTCGATGAGGCTGTATAGTAATACTCCGACTTCTATTAATTATTACTATTTTAAAAAATAATATGAAAACAAGGATCCTTAATTATATATATATATATATATATATTTTTGTAAAATTATCAAGGGCACTTTTAACAGAGTATTTAGATCGTGATTTCTGAACAATATTGTCCCGATTTGTGTACTGAGTAACATCAATGTACTTAAGGTAGTTAATACTTATTAAGGATATGATGATACCATTAGCCTAAAAATTTGAAGTCGATTGACCACCTATAACCCGAGACGAATTCAATTAAAAATTGGATATTTAACATTGATTGCATACGCTCTCTGCAGTTCTGTACCAGTTTCTTAGTTATAAAAAAAAAACTAACTGTCAGAAACTTTCAAAAAACTGACAGTCTTTTAATGTATTTGTTGTGAGTTTAAAAAAAAATATCTAATTTTTTGACAATATTGTACCACAACTACCTTAAGTTCTTCATAGTTTAGTATTTAAAATAATATCTTTCAATAATAATACAATTATTTATTAGCAATAATTTTTCATGTAATGATAATAGTGTATCTATAATGTACTTTAATTGATGATTAATAACCTATATTGTTCGATTACCACTCAATCATTCGGTTAGCATAAATTCCTTACGGTTTCTGATCATCGTAAATTATTGAATTGTATATCCACTGGAACTGCGTTTAGTTCTTCATAACGGAAAACTATAATAAATATAAATGTTAAAATAAACTAAGAAAATTTTATTATCTACTTAAAGATTCAATTTAGTAACATTAAATTGCACTGAATTATAATTAAGCTATATAAATTATAATTTAATAATTTCTTCTTCAATAAAAGTCAACTTGTGATTGATGTCTGATGTTCTTGAGCTAATAAAATTTATAGAGGATAGAGAAGAATGAGTACTATTAAGGAATTGTCATAAACGATAAAGGTTTTTAAAGGATGGGTGGGTTTATTAACAACCACGTGGAATAATTTGTACGCAACAACAGTGATGCAAGGTAACTCAAACCGTCATTTGTACACTCTTAGGATGACTATATATTTTTTTTCTTTCCCCTTGCTTCATTATATCTATATTTATCATTATTTATTATACACTGTGTACTTGTGTATGGAGTTCGTGTGGGAAGCTACTATGGTAACGAAATAATTGTCGTTGATCTCGAAAGTTGCCCATCCGCAGCGATTAACTTGTCGCCCAAGTTAAAATTACTATTTCGCAATGTCGCAATAAGACAGAGCATTGTTTTTTTATTTTTATATCGCACTATAAAATAACTCACTAATACAATTGAAATAATAATAATATATGACTTGTTATAACTCGCAGTTCGCATACATTTTCACGTAAAGATTTAAGTGAAATAAACCGAAACGAATCGCGTGAGACTTAAATCTATCTTGAAATGCATTTACAATGTACATTATTAGCACTATAAAAATTTATTTCGAAATTTAGAAGAAAAAAAAGTTGTGATTCTGGTTCATAATTTTTTAGTAGGGTGATAAATTAAAATATTTTTTTGATTGTTAATTTTCACTATGCCGATTCAAAAATTTTAATTTAACGGAGCATCGTAACTTAGGAAAATTCAATATCGATTTCCGATTACCCTGCTAAATTTCTTCAACATTTTTCAAATTGAATTTAAAAGTCAATACATCTGTATACAGTTGACATGCATACGAAATTTTGTATTTATTAACCTTAATAGAAGTAGCAAATTATGCTAATTATGAGTTAATTGCATTTGCAAAGTTTCTGAAAGTAAGACCCTGCCTCTTTATTATTCATTGCACTTAATTAAGGAATTAATTTTCTGCAGTTGAACCAGTTTTCAATACTCAGGTAGTTCAAGCGTATATAAGATTTAATAGTAGATATAAATTTATTAATTACTTTTGATAAGTTTAATAAATGATCTTCCCTAAAAAATTAAAAATTCGTAATTGATTATTTCAAAAAGTTATTAGCGATTAAAAATTAGATTTTTAAGATACAACCTTATGGCCCACCAGCATTTTTTTCGAATTTATATTATTAAAGAAGATACCATAATAAATAATATTTAAAAAAATTATCTAATTCATGCAATTTTGCACGCCTCATAGCCGAATTAAGCGGATGAAGTAGTGCTCTACTCTCGCCTTACAAAAATCAAGTGATTTTTTTAACTTAAATTGTCTCTGTTTATTTTCTATCGCACTTGTAAAATAATTTTTGCACATAAATGTCATAGAAAAACACTAGTTTTAACACTCATGACATTTTTAAAAGACATTTTGCTTTTTAAATAAATAAAAAAAATGTTTAAAAAAATTATTCCGTGGACGTCCGTGTGTCTGATGTATGTATGGAAACTGGTGTGGTCACGATAACTGCCAAAAAACTGATCAAGTCCATTTTTTTTATACGCTTCAGTATTATCCAAAACTAAGTCTTTTCAAAGATCACGATCTAATTCAATGCAGTTTAATTATAATTAGCAATAAACTAAAATCCACTTATCGTTTGTATATCTATATCTATGTAAATAGGGTTTATTTACAACACATGTGCAATACTTTTTTTTTCTTGGTGGACAATGGCGCGAAACATTTAAAAGTATTTGTATTTGATTTTAATCAATTTTATTATGGAAAATAAGATTATGAGGCATGCAATTTTGGATTTTCCAAACTTTTTTAAAATAGATGCTTAAAAATATTTCAGGTAGATAAAAAAAATTATAAGATTATTGATATACTTTAAAATTTTTCTCAAGACCCCAATAAATTTCAAAAAAAGTATTAATTTGACTTTAGCGTAGCGTATGAGCGTCCTTAAAAATTTTAGAATTTTCGCTTTAATAAAAAAAAAACAGTTGAATTTAGTACTAAAAAACTGC